CATAATTTGATACTACCAAAAGTTACGACTGGTATGGCCAAAAATGCTTTAAAGTTTTCAGCAGCTAGGAGCTGGAACGAACTCCCAAAAGACGTCAAAGAGGCCCAGTCGATCAGTACATTTTTGCTGAACAGAAACTTCAAAACGTACCTTTCACACAGGAAAAAATAACGGATTCCCATTTTTGGATATTTTAGGGTATTTAAAGAATACCCATAAAAATCCCAAATTTGGCATAGTGAGACAAGTCCCAACCAGGGAATTCCCAACCAAGTTCCCTGATTGGGACTTGTCTCATTCTTCCAAATTTGGGATTTTTGTGGGTATTCTTTAAATTCCCTAAAATATCCAAAAATGGGAACCGGTTATTTTTTCCTGTGTCATGACCATAATCTTTGTAACAATTGTTTTTAAGTGGAACTTTTTTAATTATGTATATTTATTTTATATTTAGTTCATTTATCATTTTATTTTATGTTTAATTTTTTTGCTGAGGGTGACGCGTACATGTACATTATCTGTGGATCATGGCAAGTGATCCCTTATTAAAAAAGTATCTACCGTCTCTAACGTGTGGCACGAAATTTTTTGCGGGAGTTTATTTTTGCGGATTGGTGATTTTTGTTCTGTTTTGCGGAGACTAACTTTTGCGATTAGGACGGTTGGTTTTTCTTGCTGGGAATTAACTTTTGCGGTGGTAAGAAAGTACCCAATACCCAGGCATGCAGGACACCTAGCACTGATAATATTTTCGTTTTTGTCAGGTACGTGCAATGGAAATACATATTTTTAAATAATTGAACAGACACGATTTCTTAGTACTGTATTTTTGTGTAGCGAGTTTAAGTTAGAGAACATTTTCTCTGGAGTAAATTTTTGCGGGAAAAATGTTTGCGGTAGTTTTTATTTGGGGGAACCAGGCGGTGTGCGACAAACGCAGACTGCAGACTGGCAGGTAAACAAGGTAAACATTGTTGTAAAATGCTCTAACAGATTCCCCTATCCCTAAACTTGACCTTTAAATGACTTAAAACTTAGGGATAGGGACTCTGTTAAAGCATTCCACAACAAGGTTTTCCTTGTTTACCTGCAGTCTGCAAGTCTGCAGTCTGCAGTTGTCGCACAGCGGGAACCAGGGGGGCCCTGGCGGGAACTTATTCTTGCGGATTGCTGGAAAAATCGCAAAGCAATTTATCTATTGAGCCCACCATGGCAAACCGGGTATCAGCGGCTTTTCAAAGGACACGCGATTGAAAATGGCGGTTCAATTTCCTCCTTTTCGTTCTCTTCAGGACTTTTTTACAGATGCTCAGTTTACTGCTCCAACTTTTCATGACAGAGATAGGATGGAGAACAGAATGGTTAACAATCTGATATATTACCAAACAAACTACTTTCTATGTGCCATTCTTATCCTCATTTTGGTTGGGTAAGTCGCAATAGCTGACAGTTTTCAAGCGAGGTTTAGGGACATTCGGACCTTTATAAAATATTGGCTTAATTTATTTTAGTGACCTCAAGACATAGTAACTGAAAGAGTTTTCGAAATTTCTCTTGTTCGAGTCTGTTTAGTTGCTTGATCAGAGCTTTGGCTTGCCCAGAATTTTTGTAGAGCTGAGCAGGGACATTGATGTGGTCTGGGCCGTTCAAAACCCCACCAACCACAGGGCATCCAGGCTCCTTATGACGTCCTTTTGGTTCCAAAAACATATAATAAGCTTAAGTATTTGTATGGCAGTTTAAAGTCGGTGGTATAAAAAGTGACAAATAACAGCACTAAAATGTCAAGCACCGTCCATTAAAGTTCATTGACCTTATAAGATCGATGTTAAAATGATGTTGTTTTTACATCATTTCTTAACCATCAACACAGGAAAAAGTAACAGATTCCCAATATCGTATATGTTAGCATATTTAAAGAATACCCACAAAAATCCCAAATTTGGCAAAGTAAGTCAAGTCCCAACCAGGGAATTGCCAACCAAGTTCCCCGGTTGGGACTTGTCTCACTCTTCCAAATTTTGGATTTTTGTGGGTATTCTTTAAATACCTTAAAATATCCAAAAATGGGAATCTTTTTATTTTTTCCTGTGCAAGTAGCTGCTTATCACGTCAGAGCATTATTTTCGTCAAGTAGTGATTCTTTATTATTCTATGATATAATATAAACCATGAAATATCAACTGGTAAAATAGGCAGCCGGGAGCTGTGATTGGCGTTGTCTTTGTCCCACCTTGTCAAATGGAAGGAGATTTGCTGTTTAAAAGTGTGGGGAATGTAGGCCTTAATGGCCTGGACTCTTAATTAGCCTTTGTTCTGAAACAATAACCTATTGTTTTGAAATAATAGTTAACGGTTCCATTTATTTTAAGATGGCTTTTGCAACCCTACCATGGGCAACCACATGGCCTTGCATGGGTCTTCTGTCCTTTTGAACCTACCCATTCTGCTACCTTGCTCTCTTCTGTAAGCAGTTATCCAACAGAACACTCAAACTATTGGAAAAAATGAAGTTTCCTTTAAAACAGATCAAACACTAGCCTGGGACCAGGCTTNATTTGTATGGCAGTTTAAAGTCGGTGGTATAAAAAGTGACAAATAACAGCACTAAAATGTCAAGCACCGTCCATTAAAGTTCATTGACCTTATAAGATCGATGTTAAAATGATGTTGTTTTTACATCATTTCTTAACCATCAACACAGGAAAAAGTAACAGATTCCCAATATCGTATATGTTAGCATATTTAAAGAATACCCACAAAAATCCCAAATTTGGCAAAGTAAGTCAAGTCCCAACCAGGGAATTGCCAACCAAGTTCCCCGGTTGGGACTTGTCTCACTCTTCCAAATTTTGGATTTTTGTGGGTATTCTTTAAATACCTTAAAATATCCAAAAATGGGAATCTTTTTATTTTTTCCTGTGCAAGTAGCTGCTTATCACGTCAGAGCATTATTTTCGTCAAGTAGTGATTCTTTATTATTCTATGATATAATATAAACCATGAAATATCAACTGGTAAAATAGGCAGCCGGGAGCTGTGATTGGCGTTGTCTTTGTCCCACCTTGTCAAATGGAAGGAGATTTGCTGTTTAAAAGTGTGGGGAATGTAGGCCTTAATGGCCTGGACTCTTAATTAGCCTTTGTTCTGAAACAATAACCTATTGTTTTGAAATAATAGTTAACGGTTCCATTTATTTTAAGATGGCTTTTGCAACCCTACCATGGGCAACCACATGGCCTTGCATGGGTCTTCTGTCCTTTTGAACCTACCCATTCTGCTACCTTGCTCTCTTCTGTAAGCAGTTATCCAACAGAACACTCAAACTATTGGAAAAAATGAAGTTTCCTTTAAAACAGATCAAACACTAGCCTGGGACCAGGCTTTGCAGTGGTGGAAAAAGGCAGAAAAACATTGGATCACTTTGAAGGCTTGCCAACTTTTTTGTTGTTTTACCCCATTTTGCCTTTTTTTCTCACTATGCAGAACCTAGTGCTAGGCTAATCAATCACGTACATCTGTTCCTCTTGACCTTCCCCACACTGATCTTTACTTCACTTTACAGGGTTATGTATCCAAAGGATTTGATGATTGGTGCAGTCTACCTGGTGTCAACCTTCATTTTGTTTGGAGTCGCACAGAGTCGTGAACCAAGAGTCGCTCGGATCAAGCGTCGGTACCCCTTTTTGGTTCCTGCCTCTGTGCTTGGTCTTGCAGTGTTTATTATTTATGCACTGAGATCCATGCTTGTTTTTCTTTGGGGAGTGAGTATGCCTCTGGCAGGTAGGTGAATCGATACTCCTAGAAGGCTTCTGCGAAATATCAATACAGTTAAATCCCACTTCATGGACATCTGTTTAAAGGACACCTCATTATTATGGACTTTTTTTTGTCCCTGGGGAAAAACGCCCTTGCTTTTCTAAATTCAACCTGCTTAATACTGACATTCTGTTGATACAGACTTTTTGCATGACCCCCTCGTCATCCTTAATACTGTTGAATGATGCCAGTCATTCAGGAATCAAGTTTCCAGGGCCTGCAATTACTTGATCAGCTGTTTGCAACCATAGCTTGAAGCTTCTGATACTATGAATGTCAACAGATAATTATTTTAGTGTACCAGTAGTGTACCAGTAAATTTTACAAGAACCTTAAAAGAATGTAAACCAGCTCTGAGATAATTGAGCCAAAATGATGATTTTTAAATTATTTATTGATGCCAATGACTGAAAGTTTGGTGCCCAACTGACCGAATGGCTGTCATGTTTTCTTGCCAATAAATAAAACTTTCTTTCAAAGGAATTGTAAATACTTTCTCTATTTGAAACTCTTCTGTAAAAACAAAAGCATTTAATTTAGTTTTAAAGTTATATATGAACATGTCAGCTAAATATAGTGATGCAAGACTTAATTTACATTTGTAAACAAATAACCTTTTCATTGTTTTCATTAAGAAATTCATGTTAAACAGACAAAGCTACAGGCCTGTAAAAACTGCCAAACCAATTTTTGTTGCCTTTTTCGTGTTTTTCAGCAACAGCTTCATTTAGTTGTGAAATTTCTTTGTTTGTTGTGGCAGCAAACCGGGTTCCATTTTTCTGGTAACTTGCATGAGTTTGGTTTGGCTTGGAGGTGAATAGCACCGCATATCCCAAGTTTGAATAGCCAATCAGAGCATGCAAAAAACACTATCCACTGTTTTAGTTTAGTCTTTACCAAATCAGTGAGTAGCACTTTTCGCGCGTTTTGATTGTCTCCCATAACTCGGAATATCCTTGGCTATTCACTGTTTTGCATCCGGAGCCAGGATGGCATCTCACTACGAGATATTTTTGGAAATTTGAGCAATAGATGAAGCAGTCATACAAACAGATACGAAGAAAGAGACTAACTTTGGTTTGTCAGTGTTTACTGGTAGGTTTCATCATTTTCATCCTGAATTTGCAGCAAAATCGTAAAAATGCACTTGACAAAATCCCCGAAATGTTTGTAAATATATGTATTGTAAATAAAGTTCCTACTAAGTGACGTTTTTAATTTACAAAAAGTTACTTTTGTCATTTTTTTCCAACTGATGTGGTAAATACTAAAACAACTATCCCCCTCAGGGTAGGTGAACAGCGCTAGATAATTATATACCTCAATGCTTCGCGTTTTGGTATATATCTACCACCATTCACCTCCCCTTTGAGGGGTACTTGTATACAGTCGAACCTCGAGGTGCGACCACCTCCCGTAGGTAACCACCTCCCATAAGCGACCACCTTCCCAAACACCAAAAATATCCTCAGTCGAAGCCTTATACTGGAACCACTCATAAACAGCCACCTCCCCTAAGCGACCACGACCACTTTTTGGCTGACAGTTTAAGAATTTTCTATTGCTTTTAACCTCCAGTAAGCGGCTACTTGACACATGGTCTTACTTAAACAACTAAGTATATGATTGGTAAAACTGGATAGAAAGGAATTTATTCTTTGGCTGTCATTATTGTCTACACATCTATTACTGTGTTAAATATTAGCCTGAGTTTGATCTATAACTGCAATATTAACCATTACCCTCGAGAAAAAGGCTCAGGTTTCCTGGTTCAGGTTGAGACGTTTTAATTTTTTGTTCGTCAGACGTTTAAGGGACATTTCTGTTAGTGCACTTCCTTAAAATGAACTGTCATGTAGAATAGCTAATGATTTATTCGATAAAACTACCAGTAATTGGCAGGGGAATTTAAACTTTCATAATTATTTT